ATTATTGAAATTTGTTATTTAATTACCATATAATATATTTTAATTTATAAAAAACATAAATTTTTAAATTAATATTTAATAATAATAATAATAATACTTAAATAATAATTTTGTTTGAAATAGATTAAAATAAATATTTTCTCTTTATGAAAATACAAAAAATATGTAATTTAAATAATATTGAAAAATAAATCATTTAATACAAAATTTTTTTTATTAGAGAATTTTTTTATATATTATTTTTTAATGATTTTTTCAAGAACATATATATATTTTATGTATTCGTGATGATTTAAAACGTATAGAAAGTATGACAGAAATTAATTTGATTATATTAAAATAAGGAGAAAAATATAAATATATGTTAAATATGATTTTGTTTTATAATTTATTTTGTGTTGCAATTTTTTTGCATAAATATATATAAAAGTTTATTGTTTCTTTGTACGATTCGAATTTCTTGTATTATATTATGTATTATGTATTATATTATATTATGAATGAAATATTTAATATGCTTTCAGCAAAGAAAGTAAGATATTTTAAATTTTTGATTTTGTGAATTTTGATTTCATGAAAATGAGATATCATTTTACAACTATGAAATAAAAATTGGTATGTATTTTATATATAGACTTATGTAATGCTGACAAACTAGATTTTTTTTTTAGAATGATTTTTAAAAAATTGCCGTTTGCTCGAAAAAAATATGTTTCAAAATACATATGAGCGTAAATTAATATTATTCTTCGAAATATTAATTCTTTTAGGAAATTTAATAGATTTGAAAATCTATGATATATATGTTTGTAGAAAATTGGAGCAATTTCTTTAAAAATGTAAATAAATATTACAATATAAAATAAATTGTAACTCGAAAACAAAATCATATAGAATATATATTTATATATTTTTTTTTTATTATAATAATTAATTAATATATATAAAATAAATAAATCAATTATTTCCAATATATTCATCTTGTATATACAGAAATGTATATATTCATATTCTTATATACATTCCTATATAGAAATGTATACAGAATAAACATATAAATATATTATATATATCATATTCATATCAAATTACATTGTTTCGAAACTTTGTTTTATTCATAAACAAATAAATATATTTTTTATAAATTTTTTTTATAATTTTTTCTTACATTCTTTTTATATAATATTTTTTATATGATTATTATTTTAATACTATTATGATATATTTGATATAATAAAAAATTGACATGTAATATTAATCAATCTATTAATTTCTAAATTATTTTTAACTTTTTTGACAATTTTTAACAATTAATTTAAAAGAAATAAGATCGTCGATATTCACTATTTTTTTTTTATTTTTTCTATTATTTAGTAAGATTTTCATAATTTATAATTATTAATTATAATTATTAATATAGTAGGAGAGACTGAGGAAGATTGATACATTTTTAAAAAAAAAGATTGTATAAAAGAAACTGAATAATATTTTAATAATCTTTTTTATATTCAATATTCTTTAATAAAAACAAATATAAATTTTTTAAATTTAAACAAAAAATAAATTTATGTTAAATATCTCAAACTTATAGATATATAATTATAAGAGGCATAATATAATATATAAATATAAAAATAATATAAAAATATATTTTATAAAAAAATTTATTTCGTACAAATTTCACAATAAAAATAATTTTGTTTGAACAGTTAGTTATTAATATATTGCGTGGCATCATTTAGAACATATTTGATATTAAATTCAATGTGCATTTAGTTTCACAGGTAAATATAAAGAATTGCAAGAATTGCAACAAATACAAGTTGCATTTTCATTTTCTACATTCTTAATACATTCTTTGTATCATTTTCAAAATCCATAAAATAAATATTATAAAATAAAAATATATACTACATAGCATAATATAAAAACCATAATTAAGATTTGCTGAAGTTAATATTCTATTAGTAATTTTTTTCTTTGTTTATAAATATTTATGATATTATGAAATTTGGATAAAAAAATGTATTTTTATTATTTTTATATTTAATTATATATATCTTATATATATATTAATTATTTAATATCTAGATAATGTAATTTTATTGATTTTGTATTTTTTAATTATTGTTCTTATTAGTTTATTTTCATAAATAACTTTCAGTATAGCATTTTTAATAAATTATTAAGTGAATTTATTTGACAATTTTTAAACTGTCTAAGTTTAAGTGACATCTATTAAAATATACAAATTCTTATTATAATTTGTTTGCTGAAGAATATTTATTATAAATTAAATTATTTTGAGAAAATATAATATATCTATCAAATTTCTCTTAATTATATGTATGTCTCATATTTCTCTAAACATGGAATTTTAAACAATAATCTAATATTTAATCTTAAATTGAAAGCAATGAAAGTTAGTATTTATATGTAATATTGAATGTATTTTCACATAAAATTAATAAAAATTAGTGATACACAGTAATAAAAACCTTATGTAAATAAAATAAAAATTTATATTTTTCAGCATGAAAATATACTTTCTTTAATAAGTTTTAAAATAATTTAATTTAATAAATTTATTTAAAACAATTATAACCTAATGTGATTTACATAAAGCATATATATATTTATAATATTATAGCATACAATTTTTTTTTTATTCTTTAATATAGCAAATATAAAAATGTATTAAATTTTTATTTATTAATTTCTATGTATTAATTTCTTCTATCATGTATTCTTTTTTTAAAACAAAAGATATTTTAAATAAATTCTTGTCTTTTTCTATTTAAATTGTAACATTTATATCATATATTTAATAAAATATGATTATACAAATATTTATTATATATTTTTGTCATTTTCTGGATATTTTGTTAATTCATTAGTAATATTAATAATATTATAAAGTGACATTAATAATCTATTAATAACTATATTTTCTGAATCAATAATGAGTATTTCTAATTTCTATATATAATTCGCAACAAAAATCATGATTTCTGAATTAATCAATTTTTGATTTAAGATTCTAATATTTTTTTAAGACAAATATAAAATTGCATTGATTTTTATAAAAAATATACAATTTCATTGAAAAAATTAAAATAATTTAATTTTTTAATAAAAAACTATTTTCGAACTATTGTACAATTTGTATCAATTGAATACAAACTAATTATTCGAAAAATTTTGTTATTAACTTAGTGAAAATATTTGAAAAATTATATAATTGGCAATCATATAATATATGGAACCTATTGAAAATTCTAAATCTAAAATATAAAGATTTTTATAATTATTTTTTATTATATAATTAATTAAAATTTTTAAAATTATAATAAATTGAATTTAATTCAATATTTATAAAATTAGTAAATGATTTTAATTTTATGATTTTTTTATACATTTTTTATATTTTATATTAGTTGCATATTGTATACTAATTTTATATATTTTTTATATAGTAGTTTTAGCTATGTTAAATTGTATTAATACATTAATATTAATATAATCAATAATCTTTATTTCATAAAGATATTGATTGTTGATATTGATTAACAAAAATTAACAAAAAATTCAAATTTTTAATATTTTTCAACCAAATAATTGTTTTCAAATTTTTTACATGATTAATCAAGTTTATTCAAAGATGCATAATTTAAAAAAAATATTCTTTCTTTTTATATTTTAAAAATATATTTTTACAACTTTAGGATCTATTTTCATCTTTTCAACTATATGATAACTAATAAAAAAAAAATACTTGTTTATTTTTTTAAAAAATAATATCTCACATAAATTTCATCAAACATTCATAAGCATGTGACTTGGATTCTTTCTTATAATTATGTTAAAAAGTTATAAAAAACAAAAAATTACATTTATTTTATTACTTTTTTTTTCTTTACAAATAATAATATTGACGTAAATTAAAATCATAATAATGTTAGGTAATTATTTTTTTAATTAAAGTATAAAATATTATATTTTAAAAAAATAAAATGTATGGTAGATGTTTTTCATTTATGTAATAGATAATTCTAACATTTAATAAAATAACGAACGAAAAATTAGAGAAACTGAAAAATAAAATATGAATATTCCAAAGCGGATCATTTTCATCAAACGGAATGTTTAGTATTCTTTGTATCATGTGCTTACATGACGGAAACGTGATACTTACAACTGTGACTAAAAAAACTATATGGAATTATGCAACAGTGAAAGTACAAATTAAAACAAGAAAAACAGTTTTAAAAAGAGGAAAAATTATTATCCGAATTCTTTTTTTCTAAATTTTTATATTTTAAACAATAATTAATATATTTAATGTTTTTTTTTATTTTATCTATTTTATATTTATATTTTTTATTTAATATAAAATACGTTGCGTTATTATATTTTAAGTAATGTCAAGGACATTAAGATATTATTTATATCAATTATTTAAAATTTTATAAATATTGAATAGAGAATAAAAAAATTAATATATATAATCTTGATAAATATTTTTTTGTGAATAAGATATATTTATTAATATATTTCTAATTATTTTCATTCTTATTTTTTTAATTTGAATTAACAAAATTTGTTTTTATTAATATAACTTTTATAAATATTTGAATTAGTTATTAATTTTATTATTAAATTCCAATTCAGTATTAAATTTTCGAAACAAAAATTTATCATTAATATTTTTCATATTTTTCATCATTAATAATTAAAATCATATATTGTTATGAAGAATTACTATATATATATACATATATTCTATAAAAAATTTTAATGTTTTTCGTTAAAAAATATATATCCAAAGATATATATTGAAATAATAAAATATATAAATTATTAATTTTTACAAATTTTTACATTTGTTTTCAAATATAGAAATATATATATATGTATTTAATATTTAAAAAAGAATCAATAATAAAAACTAAAATGCGCTCAAATATAAAAAAATGTTCAATATGCAGCTATTAGAAAATAAAACGAGAGCGAAACTTTTGCTATTGAAAACATGTCACGTATGTAACTTCCAAACTGTTTGCAATGCATCAAGAGCTGTGAAGAGCATCGATTCACATACACCCACAAATGACAACTCTACCTATAAAATGTATATATGTACTACCTATAAATACGTTTGTCACTTTAAACTGAAGTTAGTTTTCTTCTTGACTTTTCATTTAGTCATAGGATTATACAAAATACAAAACATGGCCATCAAGGTGAGAGAGAAACATAACAATTAATCAATTTTGTTAATTAGATTTCATTAAATTTTGCTTTTTTGCTATTTAAAAATAGTAATTGTTTTTAAATATATAATATAAAAAATAAATGTATGTAATAATATTTTTAATTTTTTTTATTATTATTTTTTAAAATTTGGAAATCAATTAAAAGAATATTGATTAATTCAAAATAATTAATATTTTATAAAAAATTCATATAAAAAGATATTTTTTATAAATTTTTAAAAAATTCACTATTAATTATTATTATTTATTTAATCTGGAAATAAATTAGATAAATATGATGATTTCTGTTTTCTTTTTTTTTCTAAATAAAGAATTATAAAATTTCTTAAAAAATGAAATTATTAATGATGTGGATATGCCATTACTATTTTAATTTATTTATAGAAATATAATTAGAGAAATTTGAAGAAAATAACAAAATTATTTAAATAAAAATAATCAATAAATATATCATATATTACATATATAGATATGTTATCAATTAAAATATATATTATAATCTATTCATTTGTCATTTCTCTTCTGAGAAACAATTTTCTAATTTTTATGATCGTTGCTAAAAATTATTGAATATTATTAATATGTTATATCGTTAATTTGAAACATATATTTTTTAAAAAATTTTATATATTATATTATTCTAATATGATTATAATTATTGTTATTAATATTTATTAAAATTATGTACTATATTATATATATTATATGTACTATTTTATATATATATATATANAAATTAATTATAATATATAATACATATATATAAAATAAATAAAATTATGAATCATTTTATACATATATCTAAATATAATATTTATATATATATATATATTAAAAAATATTTTGTAAATTAGATATATAATTTATACATATATATAAAATAAATAAAATTATGAATCATTTTATACATATATCTAAATATAATATTTATATATATATATATTAAAAAATATTTTGTAAATTAGATATATAATTTATAAAAAAAATATTTTTATTAAAAATATTATATAAAAAATATTAATTACACAATAGAATATTAAAGTTCCAAATGTCAAATATCAAATACATAATTGTCATTTTTAAATTTTATATTTTTAATATTTCTCTATTATTTTTTAGCAAATTATTTTTGTGTTGGCGATTGGTGTGATTGCAACATGCAAAGGATCTGCAGTTTCTTTACCAGCAGTACCAGTGGTCAAATTCGCATCCGTGAATTCAGAATTTAATTATGATCCTCATCCGCAATATACTTATGCTTACGATGTTCAAGATAGTTTAACAGGCGATTCCAAATCCCAGCAAGAAACCAGAAATGGCGATATAGTGAGCGGTAGTTATAGTTTCATTGAAGCTGATGGCACTAGAAGGATTGTCGAGTATACGGCGGATGCTGTGAATGGATTCAATGCAGTTGTCCACAGAGAACCTTTGGCTATTATTAAACCTGCCGTAAAGATTGCTCCAGTGGCTTTTCATCCTTAGAGATTTTTAGCAATTATTATTGATTGTTTATTACTTTACAATTTATAATTGTTCAAACAAAAGAAGAATTATTTTAACGATATAAGAAATTTGTTAATTTCACAAAACACAGTTTTAGCTTTCATTGATTTTTGCATTTTATTTGCATTTTATATTGTAGCATAAAATATTTGATTGTATTTGTAATAATGTTCTATAACAATTTTTAATGTTCTATAAAAAATTTTTAAATTATTTTTGAAGTCATTTAAGTTATGCATTGCTCAATGTTTAATAGAATTATATTGATATCATTTGCTTATAAAAAAAAAATTTATCTTTTTACACTATTTGTTATGTAACTAGTCATATCACACTGTATATACTGCAATTATTTTGTAATGGTGCGTTTATAATAAAAAATCTTTTATAAGATATTTGTAATTATTACTATTCTCCTCATTTTAGTTATATTTGTATATTTTTTAGACTTTTTTATATTTTTATATTTGTAGACTTTATTTAATAATGTATAAAGAAATATTTTTAAATATTATAACATAGATATATTTTAATATATTAATAATCATTATGTCAAAAAATTAAAAGATGATCAAATTTCGATTTAAAAATTGTCGAAATATTTGACTGCTGTAATTTTGTTGAAAGAAATTATATAATACATACTGCACATGGATTTATTTTAAAGCATAAAACTCCTATTTTACTTTTTATTTTTTCACTTTTACAAAATCACTTTTTGTTGTAAAACAGAATGAAAATTGAAGTTTTTTTTTTCTTTTAAAATTTTATAAATTTAAACATTTTTAGATTTTAAAGAATTTTTTCAAGATTTGTTTTAAGATCATTGTTTTAAGAGCAAAGTCTCTTTTTTATAACAAGTTGAGAGAAAAATTGATCTACGATTTTTTTTCGTTATGTATTATATTTTATTTTATATGTACTGTAAATATGCGATGATAATATTCAATAAAACTAACAAAAACGTCTATTGCATATATATATATAGTATAATATATATATATATTATACTATACATAGTATAATATAGCATATTATAGTATGAAATAATAATAATATAGCATATTATAATATGAAAATCATTGACTATTATTGCTGCGCATTTTTAGAAAACTACTTCGTTTTTATATTGAAAATAAAAGTAACGTTCCTTATTTCTTCTAGAAAGACTGCTCTATTTTCAATTAATTTTGATCATGATGTTGATAAATTAATAATTATTTATATCATTTTGTTGGAGAATTTTGTTGGAGATTCATAGAATCATTTCGTATCAAAAAAAAAACTGAATAACTATTATTATAAAAACATGGAACACTTTCAAATTTCAATTTTTTTATTTTAATTTTTTTAAAAATTATGGATTCTGGTAAAAAGGAAATTTGTAGATTTATATTCAATACATTAAAATTTTAAAAATTATACATTAAAATTTATAAAAAGAAATATTACAGAATATATTATAAAAAGAAAGATTACAAAATCAGATACGTGTTGATCAATATTATTTTCTTAATTACTATATTTAATATAACTATGTATTATGTTATTATGTTATATTACTGTAATTAAAAAAAACGATTATATCTCAGAATGTGATATAATTTTATATTTATTATAAATAAGTAAAAAAAATTTAAAATCTTCATTAAAAGTTGAAACGAGAAACGAAAAAAATGATTTGTTTTAATTTCTTCTTAATGATAAATAATGGATAAATAATTATTATATATGATATAATATACGATATTATATATTTGAAATTTTTATTACTATAATATTTTTTACTTATTATTGAAAAATACTAAACATTGATTATGAATATAAAAGAATATATAATTCGATACTAAAAATTCTATTCTTTCAGATCATTAAAAATCAATATAAAAAAATTATATATAATCATTTAAATTTATTATTTAAAATTTTTTATATTTTATATAAATCTTTTCATATTTTTTTAATAAAAATTTATAAAAAATTATTTGATATTATAATTACAATAAAAAAATTTTAAATATTAAAATAATTTATATATTAACATATTTTTATGTAATTGTTATTAGATTTAAACATATAATTTTTAATATTATAAAATATTATATATTTTTTAAAAATTAATATTTTTTTATTGATTGATATTTTATTTATCTATTTTCTATTTTAAGGTTGAAATATTTATTTACTATTAAATTATAATAATATTTATTTATTATTAAATATCTTTCAACATACAATAGATATATTTTTAATGATTTATTATTTATAGAATTATCGTCATTCATCATTTTAACATATTTATTTTTAATATATTATAAAAAAAAATAATTTTCAAAATATGTTTTGAGAATTATTTATTAAAAATAATAAAATAATATTTAATTTATCATAAATATAATAATATTATTATTATATATATAATATTATTAATATTAATATTAATTCAATACAATGTTTATTTATTACATTTGATATCATTGAAAAAGTTTTTTAATTTTTATAAAATTTGTTATAAAATTATATTAAATTAAAATTAAATTTAATTTTTATATATTTTTTTGAATTGTAATGATTGATAAATATTTATTTATTTGTAATATTTAGTTTATTTATTTTAAAATACAATAAAATAATTCACATAATATTTTTATAAAGAATTTTTTAAAATTTTATAAAGTATGTTAAAAATATAAAATATATAATAATATATAATATATATATAAAAGTATGTTAAAAATATAAAATTATTTTTTCATTTTGTAAATTATATATACATAAAAATAAAGTATTAGAATACTATATGTAGATCAAAGCCTTACTATCTTGTATTTCAATCTCTTATTCGTATTCTTTTCTCTATATATAGCAAAAAATACATATTGAAAATGTATATTTCAAATATGTAATTGAAATTTACTATATATATATGTGTAGTATATAATAAACTCAAATCTAACAATAAAATATAAATTAACTAATAAAAAAAAATGATCATTATCATAATTCTTTTACAATCTATCATGAAAGAAAAATGATGATTATAGATTACTCATTACTTTGCATAAATAATTTTTTTTACACAAATTTAAATAAAACTTTTTCAAAAATTAAAAATTTATTGTTTATTATTATTCATTACTAATTATTTTAAAATATTATATATATTGCATATTAAAAATAGATACACGAATAATATAAGATATTTTTATATATATTTTATATATTAATATATATAACATACATACATACATATATATATATATGTATATAACATTTATTACATAATATTATATAATAACATACATTATATACAATATTATGCATTATTTATAATGTTTATTTTTTAATTTAATTTTCAATTTTAAAAAAGTTATTGCGTGTGTTCTTTTTTAATGCAAAAATTTTTAAATATTATGATAATAATTAATAAAATTAATAATTAATGAAATATGATAAAGATAATCTTGTTAATCGGAAAACTATGAACATTGAATAAGAAAAAAAAATACAGTAAGTATACATAGAATTCATTATCTTTCGTAATTTCATCGAATAACTTCGAACTTCTTTCAATGTATCAATATATAAATGATACTCACGTTCACACTTCATTTTCACTTAAAATGTAGCAATCATTAAATTTTAAAGATTTAATTGACAATATTTAATGAAAATTAGTATAATATATTATTATGCATTACTAACAATTAATTACAATATTGACAATATATTTTAATTTTATTATTCAATTTTGTATTATTTTTATTTATAAATGATTTTATTAGTAATTTATAAGATTTAAGTTTTATAAATCGTTAATAATTAAAATATATGGAAATTATAATTAATTAAAAAATATTGATGCGTTCATGAAAATTGTTTAAAAGGCAAAACAAATACAAAAATACAAAAATTGATATACAAAAATATTAATTAAGATTTAATTATTAAATACTAATTAAACTTTATATTAAATGAAGTAAGATAAAGTGAAATTGTTGTTATCTTTATGTTCTAATTTCATTTTATTTCCTCTAACCTGTTTAATAATTATATTGCTTAAATTAATAATTATATTGCTTAAAACTTAATAAATAAGCCTTAACTGATTTTTATATACTAATTTTTATTTTTTTGGCTTCTAAAATTGTACCTGTTTAATATGTTTTATAATAAAAAATTTTTTAAATATTAATACTCTATTTATATATGAATGCTTTTAAAATATTTAATATTAATTTTATAAAATATAATTTTGTTTATTATTTGAAAAATTATGTTTTAAACCGTTTTATTATTATATCAGAAATTTATTTATTACATAAAAGATTAAATTAACTTTTCTATGTTAAAAATTATTGAACTTTTAAAAAGTATATGAATAAATATGAAAATATAAAACAAAGAAAGATCATATGCGTATCACTAGTCTGCATTTTTTAAATATACAAGCACACATGCGCACGCGCGCGCGCATACACACACAGATGTTACATACATGGAAGAAGACAGACTCTTAAATATTAGTTCTATGCATATATTCAAATACAAGAATTTCAAATACATTTTAATAAACAAATGAAAATAATCAAATAAAAATCTTTTTTATTTCTTTTTATATAATTGTATTATTTTAAAAAAAAGTTAAACAGATCTAATTAAATTGAAAATAATTAATTTAAATATAAATATATCATATTAAATATAGAGATATAAAAATAAAATTATATCATTATATTACATACATAACATTTTGTAAATATGTACATATCTTGTATAATTTCTATATCAGTATATACATATATTAAATAAAATATTCAGTATATTTTATCTTAATATATATTTTATTTCAATATCAATGTATAAAAAAACTATGTAAATAAATATATTTGAATTATTAGTAATTTTATTTTATTTTAACTTTTAATTTTTCTTATTTTCTATATTAATTATTTGATAATTTTGAGATATTATAATAGATTTTGAAATTTATTAACCGAAATTTTATTACATTATTAAAATATAATTTTAAAAGATGATAATTATATTGCATATATTTTTGCTTATAAAATACCATATTAAATTGTTTTATAGACAATTATTGTTAAAATTTCATTAATAAGTAATATAATTTATTAATTTATAATTAATATATAATTTAACCAAAAAATTCTATAAAATTTTAGAAAAAGATATTAAATTTTTCTGAAAATTATTAGTGATCAGTATTACATAAAAAATAAATTGTAATTGTATTATTTAAATTCTATATTTTATAAATAATTAATAGTTTACTATTATTTTTAAAAAATAAAATATTTATTGAATAAATAGAAATATATTTTTTTATAATTTTTTTATAAAATGCAAATGCTCTAATGCACAAAATATAAAATCAATTGATTTATTTTTAAAATAGAGGATTAAAAAACTATTAAATAATTAAAAATAATAATTTAATTTAACTGATTTTTTATGAAAATTTAAATAATACAGAAAAAAATTATGTTATGTTTGTATGAGAATAAAAATGAAAAATTTTTGAAAAAATAATTAATCAAATATATTGTATTATTAATTTAATTAATGCTAATTTTAATATATATATATATATATATATAATTAATATATATTAATATATAAATTACTATATATTAATTATATTAATATATATTAATATATAAATATATAAATTAATATATATATTATATATATTAATTTAAAAATAAATTACTTGATATTCTTCTCATATAATCATAATAATAATAATTTTGTTTACCAATCTATTATTAATGAATCTATTTGATAATTGTGAATTATTCTAATCTATAATCGTATTATAAAAATTTTTCAAACATTTATTCAAATAGAGTTTCTTCGTATTAAGAAATCCTTTTGGCCTGCTATCCTTAGTTCAATATGTCGCAGCCGCGACATAAATGCTAATCGATAACAATCGCGCAATATTGTAAACTTTTGGAAGTACGCATCTTTCATCACAAGGGAGGGTTAGAGTAGAGTTCACAGTTTGCGTTCGCGGTTTCGTAGTATGACCTCGAGATTTTGTATCTTCGACATATTGGCATACAAGTCGCGTGTATTCACTACGACAATATGAAGAAACATAAGCGTGCATACTCATCGGTTTGTGGTTGTATGTACTTACATATATCGTAACATTTATGAGGAGGTCATCGAATGGCAAAAGAAAGAGAGTAATAGGTAGCTAAATAAAAGAAGGAGAGATTAAGTGGGGACACTGTGTGTAAGACAGTGTTTCGATGTGAGTTGGGTGCAAGGAATAGCTCGATTATTGTTAGCGGATGACACGAAAACAGCGACAGTCATCAGGCATATAAAAGTACGACGAATTTTACCCCAAGGCATCAGTCTTCTGGCGATCTTCTTGCAAACAAACATGGCTGGAAAGGTAAGAAGTTCTTTGTTAAAAATTGATAAATATCGACCTAACATAAAGACCATTTTAATTAGTTTTATCAGTTAAGTATTATATTTGTTTATATTTAAAATATATTCTATTTTTCCTTTCTTTTTGCTGCAATATCTATTATTAATTTTCATTATTTTTATTATTATTCTTTGATTGTTTTCATTGTTGACAATTATAATTATCAAAATCGAAAATTTCAAATATATTTTGTTGAAATATTTAAAAGTTTCACAAATATTGTAGATTCATCAAATTATATATTATTATCTAATATATATCTATTAGATTATTAAATATTAATTAGTTTATCGATTAACGACAAATTGTGTATCAAGTTAGTATAAAGCATTAAATATTAATGCTATGTCATTAAATATTAATTATTTTGACTTCTGATGAAATTACATAACAGTAATGTAAATTTGTTTCTTTTATTATAAAAAATTTTATGATTATTATCGATATTATATACAGATACATACAGATTCAAAAAAAGGACAAAAAAAAACGAAAAAAATTTTAGAATAATTAAAATTGATTTTGAATATAAAAGAAATATATATATATCATTTTAAAAATTTTATAGAATTTCGTTCTTTCTTGAATTAAATATTTATTTTCTGAAAAAATTTTTTTTTATATTCAGCTCATCATACTCTTAAGCGTGACAGTCTTTTCAAAGGGGGCGGTGGTATCGGCAATACCGGCAGTGTCAACACCTATAGTGGCAGCAAAACTCGAGGAATTAGATGCACCTCAATATAGTTTCGCGTATGACGTTCAAGATGCCGTAACCGGGGACTCTAAAGCCCAATATGAAACTAGAAATGGTGACTTGGTACAGGGTAGTTATAGTTTGATTGAGGCAGACGGTACTCGACGCATAGTCGAGTATACAGCAGATCCTATAAATGGCTTTAACGCAGTGGTAAGCCGAGAACCAGCAACCGCTATAGCAGCCATTGCAGCTCCATTGATACCATACGCACCAGCCATCGCGTCTGCCGCGCCAGCTGCACCTGTTCTGCCTGCAGCACCTGCACCAGCACCAGCCATTCCAGCCAGCGGTCCGGATTCTGACGTTGAAGTAGTTGAGGCTAGATCCGGTCCTCTGCTTGCATCCAATGATCCAATCGCTCGTGACGAGCAACTTCGACAACAACAAGAGCAACAATTGCAGCAATTGAAAGAGCTTGAAAGACAACAACAAGAACAGCAACAGAAACAATTGCAACAATTGCAACAGCTCCAACAACAATCCAGATTGCGATTCCAACAGCAAATTCAGCAACAGCAAAGAATACAACAAGAACAGGGACAGCAAGAACAAGAACATCAAAGGCAACAACCATTACAACGACAACAATCACAATATAAATTATCACAACAGCAGCAACAGGCTTCTATACCAGTAAAAACTCTTGCCACTCCGATACAATTGCCAGCAAAAGCTCCACAAGCGGCGAGATTAGTAAGCTTGCCAGCGACTAAAACTGTTACCACTTTTGCCTCTTATCCTAATGCCTATACGTACACAGCTGCTTATTCATCACCCTTAGCTTACGCAGCTCCTATTGGAGGTTTCACTTATGCACCCGCCACCGCTCTTGTGTAAAATTTTTAAGATTGTTTTGTTAGGATTGTTTTGTTATTAAGTCATGCTCGCTTAATTGATCAAATTGTAATAAATATATCTTTATAATGAATTATATCTAATATTGTTATGAATGAACTTCCTAAAATCTTTGTTATGTAATTATTCGATATTTGAAACATTTTTATATTTATATAAATTATATTATATTAATTAGTTACGATACGTGTATAAAACATATAATTTTATAAAAATTTAAAATTAAATTACGTATTTTCTTCTTAATTTATTTTTTTAATTTATTCTTAATTTTGGAGGAATTATAACTTAAACTATTAAATTTTTTTTTTAAATATAAAAATTTTTTAAAATAAAATTTTCAAGACAAACATGTACGATAATATATTAAATCCATTTTGTTGAAAGCTACTAAAAAACAAGTTTTTTATATTTTGCGAATATGAAATTCCAAGAAAATATAAATTTGCAATGATGCATTAAGCAATCCTTTTTAAAAGAATATATTTTCGATTATTGAAATATTTGTAACTTTTTTAACAAAGCAAAAAAATAATCATTTACATACAATGTTTCATGAAACTTGCAAAATATTAATTCATAATTGAACCATCTTTCGTAAAATTACATCATGTAATATTAAAATCACAGATATTTTCGTAAAATGATAACATTGTCTTATACATGTGAATACATGTGAATTTTTATTCCAGTCCAGCATGATGTCTCGTATTGCAATCGTTGCACTGTGAGCAAATGAAAAGATTTATTATTCAACAGGGTCTGGTTTTCTTTCTTACGTGGAGAAGCCCGTGACGGGGCCACTGTCCCCATAATCTCTATTAGCTTCGGCACAATCGATTACGTCGCTACGATCTACGTGACCGTATGTAGGCGTAATAAGTAAAAGCGTCGCGAATAACGTCGATCACAAACATATGCGAATCGATCACTCGTCACGCTCATCCTCGTGAACTTCAATTCATCGCGCTCGTTCATCGTTAAGCAAGTCGATGTTGCGACGTTATGAGGTCCTCTAGTATTTACGCAAGAAAACTTCTACACACACATATATATATAATAATATTATAATTAAATAAAATATTTGAAAGTTTGTGAAAATTTGAAAATTTGATATATTTCTAATATATTTTTTAATATTTTTTTTCATTTTCTAATATAATTTTATATCACGAAATGTAACATATAATAGATCAATTGATTAGATATTAAATATTAGATAAACGAGTAATAAATAAGTATAGAAATTATTTAGATATAATACATATTGACTGGGCAGTGGAAAACAATAAATAAAATATACGGGTTTAGCTGAATGAATATATTTGATTATACATGATTGCGCGTATCTGTTTATAAAACATTTGAAATACGTGTATCGAAGAGAAACAAATAGCTACCAACTATGAAATAGTAATGTTGCTGACAACATTCAATAATGAAATCATATATATAAAATTTCAGTGAACTTTAAATTCTATAACACTCCCACTAAAAGTGAACTGAAATTTGTTTGGTGTATGTATACTTATTATGTTTGAGTGTTACAGTTCTATGTGTCTATCATGTCTTCAATATTCTTGATATTCAATCGATTTCTTTGTATTTCAAATATTGTTCTTCTTAGAGGTTTTGTTAATAGGTCTGCCTGCTGATCTTCCGATGCTATATGTTGCAGAAGAAACTCCTTCTCCTTAAATTTGTCTCGTATAAAGTGATAACGTACGTCAATGTGCTTACTTCTTCGATGAAATTCTGGGTTTTTAATGAGCTTGATTGCGCTCAAATTATCCACGTAAAGAGTCGTTGTAATGTTCTTGAACATAACTAGATCATTAATCAAACTTTTCATCCATATGATCTCTTTTACAGTTTGACTAGCTGCTATGTATTCGGCTTCAGTAGTGGATAGAGCCACTGTTCGCTGTAGTGTTGAACCCCAAGCTATTACGGAATCGCCTAGTTTTAATTATTTAACAAAACCAGTAGTAGACTTCCTTATTTCAGTGTCTCCAGCGTAATCTGCATCGCTGAATGCTTTAATATGATTATTCTGTTGAGTTGAATAATGAATACCGTATTTTGTTGTTCCCTTTAGATACTTGAAAATTCTCTTTACTGCATTCCAATGAATTTTATTGGGTTTTTCTAAATATTGACTGACTTTGTTTACTGCAAATGTAATGTCTGGTCTAGTACCCACTGACAAATACATTAAACTTCCTACCGCTTGTCGATATGGGAACTCGGATTTTTCCTTGTACCCACTTTTATGTGCCTCCACGCACAGTTGATGGTTTTGGTCTGCTGGGATTGCTACTGCATTGACATTTTCCATCCGAAATCGTTGCAAAATTTTCTTGGTGTAAGCCTCCTGATGCAAAAATATAGAATCATCTGCTAGTCGCTCAATCTGTAATCCCAAATATGTATTTATCTCATTAGATGTTACTTCAAATTCTTTACGGAGTTCAGCTAACAACTTTTTTATAGATGATTGGTTTGTTGCACTAATTAGTCCATCATCGATATGAATCGCTAAAATCAGTCGGTCTCGATCGTTTCCATTTGTAAATACACAATAGTCTGCATTGGTGGACGTGAGATCATGCTTCTTCAGTTCTGCTGTAAAACGATGATTCCAACATCTTGATGCTTGCTTTAGATCATATAAACTACGATTCAGCTTGCAAACACGGTTGGTTCCATCCTCGTATCCCTTTGGTTATTGCATATAGATGACCTCGTCGAGTTCTCCATGAAGAAAAGCTGTCCTGACGTCAAATTGCTGTAAATACATTTTGTTCGAAGCTGTAATAAATAATATAGTTCTTATTGAATCGAATCTAGCTACAGGACTAAACGTTTCGTGGTAGTCAACTCCAGCAGTTTGTTTAAAACCTCTAGCGAGTCTTGCCTTGAATCGTTGTATGTTTCCATCGCTATTTATTTTTAGTTTATAAGTCCATCGATTATCTATGACTTGATGGTCTGATGGCGGATTTACTAATGTCCATGTTTGAGTTTTTCTCAAAGAATCAATTTCGTCATCCATGGCTTCTTTCCTTCATTTGATTGCGTTGCTACATGTGATCGCGTCATCATAGTTTTCCGGTTCATAGTGTTCTGTGATCACAATATTTCCATATGTGAGTCTGTCTGGTCGGCGTATTTTATTTCTGTCTCTCAAACATCGGTCTTGTTCGTATTGATTTTTGTCTTTTGGATCGTTTGATTCTTCATCTGAATGTACTTGTTCGTTGTTTTCGGACTGAATAACGGTTTTTGATTCGACATTTATTGTGTCATCTTTCTGATATTCAAAGATTATGGTATTTGACTCTGATTCCCATTTTTCATTTGAATTAATTTCATAAAGTTGATCTGTGAATCTTGCATTCCTATGTATTTTAACTTGTCCTTTTTCAGGAAGCCAAATCCGGAATCCTTTTGTGTTTTCATCATATCCGACGAAAATGCCTTTTTCGGCTTTGACATCCCATTTTCGTCTCTTCTCTTTAGGGATATGAAAATATACTTCTTCTCTGAAGGTTCTGAGACTTGAAATGTTCGGTCTCTTCTTGAGCCACAGTTCAATAGGTGTTACTCCTTTCTCCCCACTGGTTCCGGTTCTATTTAAAGTATAAACAGTGTAATTAACTGCTTCAGCACACATTTTGATTGGCAATTTTCCTGCATGTAACGATGTTTTCGCTAAGTCAATTACAGTTCTGTTTTCTCGTTCGGCGCAACCGTTCTGTTCCGGAGTAAATGGTACTGTTTTCTGATGCGTAATGCCATATCGACGTGTTAATTCCTCAATTTCTTTATTGACGAACTCAAGACCATTATCAGATCTGAAGATCTTGATTCCTTTTTCTAAATGCTTATCAGTCTTCTTGAAGAAATCCTCTAGACATTGTGATGTCTCTGATTTATTTTTGATAAAATATAAACTTCTCCAGTGACTGTAGTCATCTTTCAACATTAAGAAATATCGAGCTCTTCCAAGCGAGTTTTCTTGCATTGGACCTGAAAGATCTGCATGGATGAGTTTTCCAATGCGTTCAGATTTTGTATCGCTTTTTGGGAATGGTAGTCTGTGTATTTTTCCTAAAATGCAATCTTCGCAAGAAAATTTTTGATCCTTAAAAATGATGTTTTCAGATTTTAGAATTTTCTTCACCTGATCCACATTCTGATGAGCCATTCGTTTGTGCCAAGAGAAAAGAGAATTGCGCACTGCTACATTTGCCTGATGCTCATCTGTAATGACTTTAAATTTCATTACGAATAACTTACCTTTTCTTTCTCCCACTGCAACAATATTTCCATTCTTCATGAATGTACATATTTTATCATCGGAGTATTGTCGTAGTCCCTTGTCAAGAGCTGCACCCGCCGAAAAAAGATTGAAACTTAGCTCTGGTACGTGAAAAACATTACTGAGGTACTTTCGCACCCACTCTTTTCCATTAAAAGCAAGAATGTCGATATCTCTTGATCCAATTGCTTCAATATATTTTCCATCGCCTATCTTAATATTCTCTACTGTGTCAAATTTTTTATATGACGAAAACCATTCGCGACGATTTAACATGTGCTCAGTCGCACCTGAATCCATGTGCCATGCATCATTGGATGTTTCTAAATTATATTCTGCAGACATGGCTCCAATGAGTGCCTCTTCTTTCCTTCCTTTGTATTTTTCATTTGCTGCTTTTCGGTTTCTACATTGCTTGATCCAATGCCCTGGTTTGTGGCAATAATGACATACGCCTGGTTTAACGTTGCCTTTTTTGAAATTTTTCTTATATTGATGTTTATTGGCAGTAAAAGCAATGTTCTCTGCCCTTTCTTCGGTTCCCATTCTTGTTTTCTCAATGGTGAGCCTTGAAATAAGATTCGTGAGAGTTCTTTCGTTGGGTTGAGTTGATTCCCACGCACTAATAAAATATTTGAATGATGGAGGTAATGTCATG